TAAGAAAATTGGCTACAAATCCTTTGAAACTCCTCCTATGAAGACGTGGGGTCGATGCCCCATCCCCTTGAATTGAGTGGCCTTGTGTCAACTTGACCAGTAGAGTATGGTGAAAGTGACACTATGTGACTTCTGAGGCTAAGCCTTTGAACATCTTCTACCTGGCTCTCTCCAGACACTAACTCTTGAGACTTCACACTCAGAACCCAACTCCTATGCTATGAGAAGCCCAAGCCACATGTAGGATATGAAGGAGACATTCCCAGCTAAGCCCAGCATTCAGCCATGCAAGGCCAGGAGCCAGACATGTGAGTGAAGGAACCCCCAGATGACCCCAGTCCCCAGCCACTGGAGCCTTCTCAGTTAACGCCTTAGACATCAAGAGGCAGAGATAAACCATTCGTATGGTGCTGTCTAAATTCCTGACTGCCAAATCCATGAGACTAAGAAAAATGTTGCTTTGTAACTGCCAAGCTGGGAGTATTTGCTATGCAGAAACAGATTATAGAGGCCACCAGTCCTACTCCTGGCTCTACAATTCCTATCTCTGTCCCATCTGATCCCTTCCCAGGTCTCTCAAGAGTCCCTCATTCAGGTGCCCTGGAGAGGTCAGTTGCTGCTCAGAACTGGAGAGGGAAGGTTTTTTCCCCCAACCCAGTTCTTTTCTGAGAGTGTTTCCTCAGAAAAGGTTGAAATTCACTTGTGAGTTCAAATTCCTGTTAATCCCCAGAACACCTGCATTGACACCTGTTTGCCCTGACTCGGGGAATTGTGAAAAGGGCTCAGGTGTGTGGAGATTTGCATTTCTTTTGCATAAATGTGTTGGGAACTTAGTTGCTCCCCGCTCTGGTTCTGGCCTGACCCTCTCCTCTGAGCTCATGATCTCTGCATCTGACTACAGCCAGGCTATTCTCTGCCATCACCATCTCTCTCCAAGATTATTGCAAAGGCCTCCTAACAGACCTCCCTGCTTCCAACTTTGCCTTGTCTATTTCCCACACAGCAGCCTCAGTGATCCTTCTGGTTTTTTTTTTTTTTTTTTTTTTTTTTAGACAGAGTTTCGCTCTTGTTACCCAGGCTGGAGTGCAATGACGCGATCTTGGCTCACCACAACCTCCGCCTCCTGGGTTCAAGCAATTCTCCTGCCTCAGCCTCCTGAGTAGCTGGGATTACAGGCACGCGCCACCACGCCCAGCTAATTTTTTGTCTTTTTGGTAGAGACGGGGTTTCACCATGTTGACCAGGATGGTCTCGATCTCTTGACCTCGCGATCCACCTGCCTCGGCCTCCCAAAGAGCTGGGATTACAGGCTTGAGCCACTGCGCCCAGCTGATCCTTTTAAAATGAAGGTCGAGCCTGTCATTCTTCTACTGGAAACCTCTGCCACTTCCCACATCCCTCAGAATAAGAGTCTGAGTCCTGGCAATGGCCAACTGACTCTGTCTCCTACTTCTTGTTCACTCCCTCTCTCTCTGCAGCCATCCCAGCCTTCCTTGTTCTTCCCTGAAGATGCTCTTGCTGCAAAGCCTTTATGATTGTCATTTCCTCTGCAAGGGACAGTTTTCCTCAAGATATCTGCAGGGCTTGTTCTCACATTTCCTTCTGCCTCTGTTCAAATGTTTCTAAGGGCAATGTAGGGGTCGGGAAGGCTGAAGGTGGGGGTGGGGTTCCCTGACTGCTTTCCACCCTACCTGGGACTCTCTAGCCTCTCTCTTTCCTTTTCTCCACAACCCTTAACATCTAACACAACATGCAGTGACATCTTTTCCAGTTTTAAATGGAAGCTCCATGAGCTCTGGGATTTATCCGTCTCATGCAATGCTGGCTCCTAGAATAGTACCTAGAACACTAGAAAGACTTTATTAGCCATTTGTGGAATGAATGGATGAATGGATCCCAGGCAACTCCTTCACTTATGTCCAATCAGTCACAAAGTCATTTCTATTCTGCCTTCTTTTTTGTTTTTGAGATGGAGTCTTGCTCTGTTGCCAAGGCTGGAGTATGGTGGGATGGGCTTGGCTCACTGCAACCTCTGCCTCCTGGGTTCAAGTGATTCTCCTGCTTCAGCCTCCCAAGTAGCTGGGATTACAGGTGTGTGCCACCATGCCAGACCTTTTTGTGTGTATTTTTAGTAGAGAAACGGTTTCACTATGTTGGCCAGGCTGGTCTTGAACGCCTGATCTCATGATCTGCCTTCCTTGGCCTCCCAAAGTGCTGGGATTACAGGTGTGAGCCACTATGCCCAGCCCTATTCTGCCTTCTTAAAATCACCTGCATCCACACTCTCCTTCCCTCAGCCCCCAGTCAACAACCGGTTCAGACACCACCTTCTCCCCCATCAGCAATTACAATTGTCTAGTTACCGTCATCCCTCCCTCTGCTCCCTTTTCATCTAAACTCTTGCCACAGCTATGTTTTTTTTTTTTTTTTACATATAGCCTTGCTTCTACTGACTCTTCAGATTAATACCCTATTTTGAAAAAACCTATAACCATAGCAGCTGACATTTATGTTTACTGTGTAACTTTAAGCATGTTATTTAACATTCCAATGCCTCAGTTTCCTCACCTGTAAACCGAGAATAGTGTTAATACCTACCTCATTGGTAGGTGGTGAGGATGAAATCTGGAAAGTAAACCTGATAAGTTCTCAAGGAGTTTTAGCTAGTATTGTTGTTACTGAGTGCTTATGCTGTACCAGGCACCATTCCAAATACATCCAGGCACTAACTCATGGAATCCTCATACTCACCCTATGAAGCAGGTTTAGTAAGAACACCATAAACAGAACAGGCTACAGTGGTTTTACCAAGGAAAGGGAAAGCAAAACCAGTCATGGCTCTCTCTAGTTTATAAGAGTCTGATGCTCCCACCGTCTATAGGACATATAATACGAATAACAATAGCTGGTGTTCACCAAATACTTCACGTGTATCGGGCCCAGTGCTAAGTGTCTGCACGTGCGGACATTCCTCCCACAGTGCCAATTCTCATAACCTGCTCTGTGCATAGCTTGATGGATCAATTAGAGAACACGATTTGCATCCTGTGGCTTGCAATTGGTTATACAGCAATGCAAGCTGGAAGCAGCCTGGAAGCTGCGGCTGCCATGAGGCTGCTGGCTGGGTTTCACTTTGTTTTTCTGAACAATGGCTGCTTCTCAAGGTGTGTTACTGATGGTGCTGGTGGTGCTAGAAATAGGAAGGTCAGCACTTTGAAAGAAAATCTAGATGTAATCAAAGCTCAGGGATGCTCAGGGATATAAAACTTTTATAACCATACACATATTGCTAGGGCAAACACCATTATTATCAAGGTATCAACAAGAAAAACGACTTTGCAATTGCTAGACTGAAAATCTCTAACCCAACCACATTTTCATGCATGATTATTTTTATGACTTAGTTTCAAAAGAACCACCACAACAATAATAATAACCTTCACTAACGTTCATTGAACGTACTATGTGTCTGGCTTTTTGCTAAGAGATTTGCATAATGATCTATTTAATTTTCAGGCAATACTCTTTGTTATTGGCTCCATTTTCAGATAGTGAAACCAAGGCATAGAGATGAGATGATTGCTCAGTGTCAAAACAGTTAGAAGGAAGCAGAGCTGGGTCTCAAACACATAGAGCCCAGTGTGAGCCAGAACCACAGCACTGCGCTATCCTAGTGGACTGTCGATTGCATGAGGTTTCTTAGAACTGCAGTTATTGCACGATGCCCACATCATCTCATTTGCTTTTTCTACTTTTCTAAGGGACAGTTCCTCTTACTTTAGCTATTTCCCAATAAAGACCAAGGCACAGAGATGTCAAACAAAAGTTGCACAGACAGTAAGTGGTTGAGCATGAGCTCCAAAAGATACCTAAGGAATCCACAGTCCCCGATCTCCCTGCTGGGGTCAAGTCTCCTGATACTTCACCACTTATGTGTCAGTCCGCAACTGACCACAGTTGTCATTTTACACATGCGTGTGTATTTTGTTGTCTACCCAACTATAGAGTGAGGTTGATAAGAGTAGGGTCCATTATTTTGATTATTATTGTGTGCCCCCTACATAGTAGATGGGTTTTGATTATTATTGTGTGCCCCTTACATAGTAGATGCCCAGTTAATATTTGTGGACTGAATGAGTGAATGATGGATTCCTCTGGAGGCACTGAGCTGGACCAAGGGGGTACAGGGGACACACCCCAACTCCCTCAGCCCTACTAAGGCAGTTTCTAAGGCTCAGGATGTTGGCTCATCCTGTTCTGACCTCAGGAAGGATGCTGGGGCCTAGCCCATTGGTAGGTGGGAACTGAAATTGCTGTTACTGCCCAGAGACTGGACTCGGGTTCTTGGAGTCACAGATAATGTTGATGCCCTATGTAAATCCATCCCTCTTTCTTTCTGGCTGGAAAGGCCTGTTTTGCTTGGGTCCTTTTCCCTTGAGGCCAAGTACTCAAATGACATGGCACTCCTCATAGTGGGGACATCAGTCATGATTGGTCGAAGCCAATCAATGATTATATTCCCCTCACCAGATACTGGTTAGCGAAAGCATGCGAACAAATCCTAGCCAATGGGATCTAAGGGGAAGTGTGATGGAGAGGTCTCCAGGAAAGGTTTTCTTCCTTTAAAGATGCGTAAGTGGAGCCAGGTGCGGTGGCTCACTCCTGTAATCCCAGCACTTTGGGAGGCCAAGGCGGGCAGTATCACGAGGTCAGGAGTTTGAGACCAGTCTGGCCATGAGTCAGATCGTAAGGTCAGGAGTTTGAAACCAGTCTGGTTTCACATAGGGAAACCCATCTCTGCTAAAAATACAAAAAACTAGCTGGGTGTGGTGGTGTGCACCTGTAATCCCAGCTACTCAGGAGACTGAGGTAGGAGAATCAAGTGAACCTGGGAGGTGGAGGTTGCAGTAAGACGAGATCATACCATTGCATTCCAGACCGGGTGACAGTTTGAGACACTGTCTCAAGAAAAAAAAAGAAAAGATACAGAGATTGATTCGCCTTCACCTGCAGAACTCCAGCTGAACCAAGTAGGAAGCCAGGCGAGCTGTAAAACATGAACAGAGGAGTGGATTATTTGGTCACTGAGGTAGAGATCAATCTTACCAGAGGACCCTCAGGTAAATGGCCAAGACCTAAAGAACCTGCTGCACCAGGATGCTGTAGGCCTCTTTCGGAATGCAGGCTATGCTGTGTCTCTGAGAGTGCAGCACAGGTTATAGGTGCAGAATGGACCTATCGGACACTGAGGTGAAGGGGACCCAAGTGATATTTCCAACTTTATGGTGCTGGTGCCAGTGTTTCCCTCACTGTGGTAGCAGCCTGGGCTTTCATGAGATACCAGCAACAACTTTGAAAAACTTGTTCTCTTTCAGTGCTCCCAGTGAAGATATACTTCACTCACCCTCCACCCTTGCTATGCTACCATGTCTTTCCCTCTCCGTAGCCAACACATGATTTGAAGTGACCGATACACAACCCAAATTTTGCTGTTCAGAATCTTCAATTCTTCGTATTCTAATGGGAAAGTAAAGGTATCGTTTGAAGAAAAACTGAAGAAAATACTTGCTTAGAACATATGAGGAGTTATATATTTTACTGGGACTTTCAATAGAAATTCGGCTACGACCCAAAGAGAGAAAGATTCAGTCTTCCTGTCACCATAGGCAATACCTCTTTTCTTAGCTGGCATCCCATAAAGGCCAGCTATGTGATATTAGAGGAAGAAAGGATTTTTCTTTTTAATGATCTTCCTCGGGAAATTATTATGGCCTTTATTTAATTTCTAACTACATACCTTGGTGCCTATATCAGACAAAGGAGAGTGAAAGAGCATTTTTACTTTTTTAAAAAAGCAAATACATATATTCACATATACAAGCAAATATTATAGTATAAAAGTGATACCTATGGAGAATTTAAGAAGTGAGAAAGCTAAAAAAAAAAAAAAAAGATGCTTAAGTGGAAATAAGTGTGTGTGTGTGTGTGTGTGTGTGTGTGTGTCTTTGGTTTTTTTTTTTCATGTTTGTTAGTTTTTTTTTGAGTCAGAGTCTCACTCTGTCACCCAGGCTGGAGTGCAGTGGTGTGATCTTGGCTCATTATAACCTCAACCTCCTGGATTCAAGTGATTCTCCTGCCTCAGCCACCCAAGTAGCTGAAGCTATAGGCGCATGCCACCATGCCAGGGTATTTTTTTTTTTTGTATTTTTTAGTAGATACAATATTTTACCATGTTGGCAAGTCTGGTCTCAAACTCCTGACCTCAAGTGATCCATCCAGTCAACCTCCCAAAGTGCTGGGATTACAGGTGTGAGCCACCGCGCCTGGTTGGAAATGCATTTTTCACTGGACAGTGTCATGTCTGTGGATGACGGCTGGCACTGTGCATTCATCTAGCTACCATGAGGCAAGGCATTGCCAGTATGCGAAGGAAGCCGACACCACTTGAAGACATCATCAAGCTACCAAATTTCCATACCCCAGAACTTAGACCCTTTTTGTTATGTGAGAAAATGAACTCCTAATGGCTTAAGCCGTATTTAGTTGGGGTTTCTGTTCCTTGATGCCTCCTGATGAGCACACGGCAGCCGCTCCAGTGATGCTTGTCTGCTTGGTCAACTGCATCTCTGTGTTCTTCATTTCAGTGGCGGAGAGGTGGAGGCTGGAGACTAACATTTGTAAGATTCTTACTACAAATGTATCATCTCATTTCTTCCACTGAATAACTAGAAGTATGCAAAATAGGCTCTCTTAGTCCCAATTTACTAAGAAGAAAGCTGAAATGCAGTGAGGTTATGTGGCTTGTCCAGGGTCACGCTCTCAGCTGTCTGTAGGATGCAAATCAAACTTCTTAATGTGGCATTCAGTACTCTTCGGGCTCTCTGGTCCTTTCCATCTTCCTCAGCTTCAGATCTCCCCATTCTGTCCTCTCCCTCTCACTCCAAGCCCTGGACAGACCAAAATCCTTTGGTTCCACTGATTGCTCCTTCTGCCTGAGACAGTCTGTATTTCCTTTCTGCCTGACCAACTATAATTCACTCTTTAGGCATTGATTGCATTGTCCGCCTACATACAATTGTCCACCTCTTTCCTGACCACCCATGCTGGCTTTAGCCTGCAGTTATGCCCTGCACTTTCCTCACCCATCTCTTCTCACACTTTGTTTTTTTCTTTTTCTTTTGAGATGGAGTCTCCCTCTGTTGCTCAGGCTGGAGTGCAGTGATGTGATCTCGGCTCCTTGCAAACTCCGCCTCCCGGGTTCAAGCAATCCTCCTGCGGCAGCCTCCCAAGTAGCTGGGATTACAGGTCTGTGCCACCAGACTCAGCTAATTTTCGTATTTTTAGTAGAGATGGGGTTTCACCATGTTGGCCAGACTGTTCTCAAACTCCTGACCTGAAGTGATCAGACTGCCTCGACCTCCCAAAGTGCTGGGATTATGGGCATGGGCCACTGCACCTGGCCCCTTTTCATGCTTTCATATAGTTACCTGGAGTCCTGTCTGTCTTCCCCTGAGACTCTGTGCTTCTGGAGCCCTGGCAGAGTAGCGCAGTGCCGTGGTCCAGAGCATGAACTCTGGCACACAAGAGTTTCACTTTCAGCTCCGTCAATTCCTAAATATGGAACTGGGATGCCTCCTCTCACCTTTCTGTGCCTCATTTTCACTCTTAAGATGGGGACATTGAATAGTTTCCACCTTACATGACTGATGCAGGAATTAAGTGAGTTACTGCGTGTAAAACACTTAGGACGAATGGGGCCTGACACATAGGAAGTATTCAATAAGTCTCGCCTATTTTTATGATTATTCCTGTCCTTGAAGCGCTTGCTACCTATCAGACATTCACCAAGTGTTGGTTGAACGAATAAATGGAGCAGTGGAACTCAGATTACACAGAACACAACTCCTAGGGCACTGATGTGGCCTAAAGTCAAATACTGCTTCTCAGTCAAACTTGGCCTCCGATCCTAGCTGTGTGACCCTAAGCAAGTTACTGCACCTCTTACTATCTCCATTTCCTCAACTTTGAAATGAGGAAACCAACACCTGCCGTGAAAGATTGTTATGTTCATCTGGCCCTGAGCCCAGCGTACAGTAGGAGCTCAAATACCTTAAGTTTTCTTCCCTCCTCACCCACCCTATGTCATCATTTTTGCCTAAGGCCACATCGGAAGAAGGAATTTTAAGAAATTGGCTTCTTTCCACTTAAAAAAATCTCAAAGGAGAAAGTGGTCTTTGTGATTTAAAGACCCCCTCCCCATCTTGTACCGTCCAGATCCCCCGACCATCCCGAGGCCTTTGAACTCATTCAGCCTTGGCAGGAAATGCACCCTCTGCATCAGAGGGATCAGAGAGCTGGGAAGGAGCAGGCCCTCCCTGCTGCCTTCCTGCTGAGCGAGGGGAAGCGGGAGGAACGAGGAGCGATGCTGGTCCTGACTTGCCCACTGGCTCCCTGTGCAGCCTTGACCAAAGCCTGCACTTTTCAGGGCAGCGATGCCCCCATATGTCCAATGGGCTTGGGTCCGTGACCTCTGAGGTCCCTTCCGGAGCAGGCATTCTGTGACGCAGGAAGTGGGACCCTTCTGCTGCCAGAGAGATCAAAGAGTGGTTTCCCAGAGGAGGCCTCACAGCTGTCTGCCCTCTGAGCAGCTCCTGGCTTCCTGCTCTGCACCGAGCCTGCTGTTCAGCCCTGGGAACGGCTGAAGCCTCAGCCGAGGTTGAACATTGGGCTTCCTCACTCCCCCTGGTTCCCAGGTCATAGGTTTGAGATGCTTGACTCTCCTCTGTAAGCCACTTGTGATCAAGGCACCGTGCTGTGTGTTCCCCGAGTTCAATTCATAGGAAATGTCTGTCTGTGCTTTAGGACACTTGGGAACTCCTTGCTTTACCCTTCTGGCACCTCCCAGGACTCTGCTTGGTAATGGACCATGTTCCTTGTCATCTGGCCTTTGAGGTCCTTCGACACCTGCTTTCCTGGGTTGATTTCGCCTTGCTCTGCCAGATGCTTTCCCCACACCTTTGCTAGTGCTGTCCCTGTCCCACCCCATCCCCGGGGTACTCCTGGCCAGACAGGTGATTAGTGTTTTCCTAGGTTACTGCCATCTTCATTTGCCAGGAGGAGGAAACAGATACTCAGAAAGGTGAGGTGTCCTTTTGAAGGTCTCCAGCAAACTCCAGGCTAAGCCTAGCCTAGGATCTGGCCTCCTTTCTCCACATGCAGTGCCTTGTTAAAGAAAAAATTATTCAATGACACTTGCTAAAGTACAGTAAGGCAGACTTTACTCAGGACCATTGCGATGGGTATAGGGACCACTGCAAGGATTTTGTAGTGGAGGAGTGAGATTGGGCTCAATGCTGAACACGGAATGGGCAAGTGGGAATTTATAGCCCAGAAGCCTGCCTGGGTCAGTGCATGGAAAATTACTAAGAGGAAACATCAGGGATAAGGGGAATTCTGTGTAAACTGACCTAACAGGATTCTTGCTAAAGACAGGCCAGGATGGGCATATGGGTGGACCTAGGAGAAGGTATAGAAGCCTGTCAAGCAGAGGACGTTTATCAGTACTGTCAATGCTGTTCTTCCCTCCTTATGTTGGTCAGGACTCTTGGGTTTGCACAGCATAGAAATTCAAATTAAAGAAGCTTAAGCTGAAAGAGAAGTTACTGATTTATTGGAAGGGTGTTAGGGTAGACCTTAGAGGGAGATTCAGGAGCCAGACTGTGGGGGTGCAAGTGCTGACTGTTGACCCTCCTGACTGTGCAGCCCACAGCAAGTGAGGTCACCTCTCAGGGCTTCACCTTCCCTATCTATAGGATGGGCTCATAATAATAACTCCTTCACTAGATGAAAGCTGGATTAGTGCAATATATTCGTGCAGTGATCACAGCCCACAGTGAGAAATGTGCTTTATATCATCACCCAGTACACACATAAATCTAAGACAAACACTCATAAAACAGGCTGGTTTTAGTAGTTAATGCCTGCAATCTCAGCACTTTGGGAGGCTTTGAGAGAAGCCATTGAGGCCAGGAGTTTGAGACCAGACCAGCCAGGGCAACATAGTGAGATCCTGTCTCTACAAAAAATGAAAAAATTAGCCAGGTGTGGTGGTGCACACCTATAGTCCTAGCTAGCTAGCTACTCAAGAGGCTGAGGCAGGAGGCTTGTTTGAACCCAGGAGTTCAAGCTACTGTAGCCTCCAGCCTGGGTGACAGAACAAGACTCTGTCTGTCTGTCTGTCTGTCTGTCTCTCTCTCACTCTCTCTCTCTCTATGTGTGTGTGTGTGTGTGAAATTAACTTTCCACTTAAAAAATCTCAAAGGAGAAAGTAGTCTTTGTGATTTAAAGACCCCCTTC